ACGAAGGCGCTTACGCGCGACTTCACGCGGGCAACTCACGCGCCAATGTCGGCGAAAACAACCCCGTTTTTTGTTGGCGTCGCTCAGTTGGCGCATCGACCACCCGCGTCGAATTGGATCGCAGGCGGCCTCGCATCGGTGCCTGCCAGTGCCAATGTGGGGTGCGCCGAAGAGGGGGTCCAGGTGCACGGTTTCCCCCGGGGCCGTAGGCGACCCGAGGAGGAGGAGGAAGAGAAGGAGGTGGAGGATGAGGAGATGAAAGAGGAGGAGGAGGAGGAGGAGGAGGCGGAGGACGGGTCGCCGAAGCCCTTCGGTCCAGGAGCCCCAATCTCCAACATATTGAAGACATTGAGACAGAGTGGTCCGGAGCTCCGCGGACACCGTAGTGAACAACTCGAGACGTCGGAGGTGAGGCAGGAGAACCCGGAATCGATACGTCGGATCGGCCACCGAAATGAATCAGATCGACGGACATCGGCGACCAGATCGGGGAAGGTCGAATCGGCGGATATCGGCAAGCTCGTGGGACTCCGGTGAGAGAAATCGGAGCCCAGATCGGACTCCGGTGTCGAATCGAATCGGAATCGGAAGCCGTCGAGATCGAAGCGAATCGGAGAACTCGCACCGGGGCCCTCGGTCAGGGGAGGGCGGACAGGACGACGGCGCGCGGCCCGCGGCGTGTGCGCGGACGAGCCGGGGGGTGGGCGGACGTGCCGACATAGGAGGAGAGGGCCATGCAATCTGTGAGACAGCACTGCCCTGGCCATGACATCCACTCCCCGTAGCTCTTACCCCAAGTGGGCGCACCCGACAATGACGGCCGCCCAAATGGGACCCGAGCAGATGGGGTCGGAAGATCTCACCGCATCATCGAGGCATCGTCGATACACCGGCGACGCCAGCGTGGAGAGAATCGGGGTTCCGCATCGACCCACACCGCCGATGCACCGGCGACGCGGCGCGATCCGGCGACCCCATCCATCTGCTTGGTCCCTATTTAAGCGGGCGGCCTGAAGTCAATACAATGGGTTAGTTCCTCCTCCCTTGGCCATGACTTGCCATCGCTCGGACGTCCATTTCCCGTGTTTTCTTTGGTTTCGTGCGTGTTTTTTTTGCTCGATGGTCCAGGATGGTCCTCGCCGAGAACAAATGCACACGTCCGAGCGATGCCAAGATGAAATAAAGTATTCTGAATGAAACTGGTCGTCAAGTGTTGCTCCGTTCTCGGTCTCCCGGGGCCCTCCACGAGCCCTGGGACTGTCACAAGAGAACTCACGACGGACCCGTCGACTTCGGAACCCGTTTCCTTCGCGCCAGTCCCTCTCCCCGCGTTCGTCCCTCACCCCTCCTCCCTCCCCCACCTTCGCGCCCCATATCATCTCAGCACTGGGTGAACTGAATGTGCGAGGCCTGATGCGCTCATGCGGAAAAAAACAGACGCAGTAATGCGTCACACACATTGGGCTGATTGCACGTCCAGGACATGAAAGGCAAACAGGTCGAATAATAATAGAACAACCCTGGTGGGAACAGAATAACGTAGCCGTCAATTGAGGGGGACAATAAAAATACGCCGTGACATAACCATAACATAGCATCGAGGGATACCACTTTATGAGAGAGGTCGGGCTACACGTGCAAGCAATACAAGTTTTCGAGCATGCCTGCTGCCTCTCCGGTGTAAATGTCAAAATCATGCTACTACCACGCGGGTCAATCAAGCAGCTGAACCAACCTCCCCCGCTAATCCCCCCATAATAACCTCCCCCACCACTCAGTAGATAGAACAGACAGTGATGCTGCAATGTAGGCTGGTTCAATTTCATTGGCAAGCATATTGCGCCAAACAAGTGGCAGCGGCTGACG